GATACGATGAACACTAAACGTTATCCTTTTCTTAATTAATTATTAAGAAGATAACCTAATCTTAGCATTTACCTGCATGTATCTGCAGGATAAACGGTATTGCAAAAACTCCTTATAATAACTATAATTAAGAAAAGGATAACGTGACTAGGATAATGTGACTAGCGTTCACTGTATCTGGATCCACGTTATTGTAAAAAAAACTCCCTAAAATATCTTTTTATATAGATTTTCATATCAACACGGTAATAGAATGATAAACAACGAAATTCTTCTAATAATAAATTTTTATAAATATTTTTGTTTAATCTATTAAAACATTTAGAGCAAACGATGAAAACTACGAATATTATTTTTTAATTATAATGAATTCATCTATAAGTATATCAATATCGAAAATTTCTTACGGAAAAGAATCACCGGCTAGACATTGGCCCTGCGCACAATAGAAGGAATAAGGAATTAGGAACAAAGATTAAACGATTTTAACCTATCAGAAATCGGATACGTCGGAATACACGGTTTCTGATAGATTAAAATCGTTTATTCTTTATTCCTATTCCTTATTCCTTCTATTGTGCGCAGGGCCATTGTATCCGTGTTCAAATATTACAGCGACCACACAAATATATTTCAGTGATCACCTAATATTACAGAGATCTGTGTAATATTTTTGCACTGTAATCGGCGCACTATAGAAAAAGTAGTACATAGATTACAGGAATAGGATAGAGTGCACGGATTGCAGTAACTACACGCATGTGATTTGTCGTGTGTATATAATAATTTCACGCGGGATTATAACTACATGGATTACAATATCCAGCTAGTGATTCTTTTTCATAAGGAGCGTCTCATCAAAATTGATCTAGTGCACATGCAATATAGTTAATGTTGTTAATGAATTTTTCAATCGTATTTTGTTACGTCGTAGAAATGACGAATGCGTTTTTAATATTCTTAAGGCAGAAAAAGCTAGACCGTTTTGAAGTATATATCGTCACCGGTATTATATTAAAAATACTTGATTTAGCTTTGTGTGTGCATTCTAAAATAACTCTGCCTCGGCTTTATTATGTTTACGAAGAATCATAATAACTTAGGGCCGATTCTCTGTAACTCTTAACGACAGTCCGTTGATGTCGTTGCGCAGATATTATGTAGAGTAAAAAAAGCTGCGCAATGACATCAACGACTGTCGTTAAGAGTTTAGAATCGGTCCCTTAGGGTATATCCACACAACTTGCATAGCCGCATAAACGTACGCATAAAGAAAATTATCCAATCGCATTTCTCCTATAAAGACGCATGTAAAATGTGATTGGATAATTTGTTTTATGCTTATGTTTATGCAAGTTTGTGTGGATATACCTTAAGGACTATCGCACATGAAATGCATAACAGAGCATAAGCATAATATAAGACTGCTGGACCAATGAGTATCTACGATAATGTCGCCATATTGATTTACATAAGATGCTCATTGGTTTAGCGGCCTTATATTATGCTTATGCTCTGTTATGCATTTCATGTGTGAGAGCCCTTAGTCTCCGACAGATGTTCATATGCGGAATTTCATGCATGACTCCACATAAACCGGCGCTAATTTCTCTTAATACACGTCGAACGACCGAACAACATTTTTCGTTGCTTGGCGTTAGACGCTTACTTAAATGAAGCTACGAGAACGACATGTTCTTCTTTATCGCTTGCTCTTGTTCGCTCTCAACGCGCTGAAGGCATACACATAAGGCCTGTTCTTTTTAGCTGAATTTTTGCACCAGTTCATCTTTCTTCCTCTTCTTTCCTCCTGGATTTAAATGAAGCTACGAGAACGACATGTTCTTCTTTATCGCTTGCTCTCGTTCGCTCTCAACGCGCTGAAGGCATACACATAAGGCCTGTTCTTTTTAGCTGAACTTTTGCACCAGTTCATCTTTCTTCCTCTTCTTTCCTCCTGGAAAAGTTCAACAAGAAAAAAGTCCAAAAAGAACAGGCCTATAGTGTGACACAAAAACATAGTGCGACTTGCGTCCATGTACTCAGCTATAACTGTAGCTATCAGGCGGTCGATTCTGTATCTTCAAACAAAGTGAAAATTACAAAAGTGAGCAAATTTACTAGGTGTTAACTAATAAAATTATCTCAGTATTCTAGTAAATTCGCTCACTTTTGTCATTTTCATCTCGCTTCAAGATACAGAATCGATCCTCAGCATCTATCCCCACTCTTCCTCCACCACACGCTACCAAGTGCGAGACCAGTGTTGCTAGGTGAAAAATTGAATGGTATAGATAGTACGTCAAAAAAGCAATAGATTTGAAACTTAAAGCGGTAGAGTCTTTTTTCAAGAAATTTTGTAAAACTGTTAGAAAATAGAAAAAAATATTGTAGATTGTAGTTATAAGTAATACATACCGAAAACAAATCAGTAGCAAATAAAGTAAAAATTATAATAAAAAGAATGTACTCATACTTTTTTTTTTCCTTTAATCTTTATTTATAAATTTCTCATTGATGATAAGTATTACAAATTATTTAATATTTTATAAAAAGTAACAGAAAAAGATATTCTAATCTGTATAAAATTGTTTTCCAAGAAACACAAAAAAATAACATAACATTAATGTTACAATTTTCCACTCAACAATGCAGCGGCAATGTAATTTATGTAATATGTCTTATGCATAACAGCAACATTATTGAGTGGAAAATTATAACGTTATTTTGTTTTTTCTTTAATCTTCAGTCTCCTAATTTGACTAGTCTCAGAATCAGTTAACATTTCATAGTCTTTGTTTTTCTTATACATATTATTAGAATGCAGTTTAAATAGCTCTTCTGGTATAGACAAGATATAGCAATTTTTACCGTTTAGGTATTCTTTTGTATGTATGTATCCAGAAAGAGTAGCAGATGAAATCGAATTTCTTACATTAGTTTTTATTAGATTAATTTGAGAAAATATCTTTCGACGTTAGCGGAGGAGTGAGGGAGAGACAGTATAATTGAGTAGCAAATGTACTGACTTTTCCAAACAAAATTATGATTATATATTTCTTTCAATACTGGAACCCAAAACTCTTCACCATTGTCGCCGAAATTTTGGATCAAATTCTTTTGTTAATTAAAGATACTAATCTTTGAGTAAAATGAGCAGTAACATAGGATATTATACAAGCAAAATAAAATAAAAAAAGACGGTAGATAACCTAGCTGAAACAATAGACAGTAGGTTGGTGATCCGAAACGGTAAATCTACCACTAAAACGGTAGAGCTGGCAACACTGTGCGAGACTTCTTCAACCAATCGGATTTTGGGGGTGTTTCAAAGGCGGGGCCAGGCGGGGCTAGGCGGAGCCAGGTGGAGTCAAGCGAAGCCAGGTGGAGCTAAGCGAAGCCAGACGGAGCCAAGTACTATACTCTTGCAAGCACGTCCTATAGTAAAATCGCCCATACACTACCGCTATTTATTATCGGTTTGGAAACTACATGGCCTAAATCCATTTTCTGACACTGTCGGTAAAATCGTATCGCCAAAAGTAGATGTGATTCTTGTAACTTACTTGTAAATTATTTGTAACTTCATTATTTATTTTTGTAAGTTACTTGTAATCTCATTTTCATTGTTAATAAATATTTTCAATGTACACTGCAGCGCATTAATTCGCTGGGTCATAGTAGCGGTCCGATTTATCGACGTTTATTTTTTACTCAAATACTATCAACTTTACAGAAAAACTACAACAGATAAAAATCATTTATTTTCTTCTCATAGAACTCTAAGAATTTTTTCAGAACTTTTTATCAACTTTTTAATACTTGCATTTTTTATTTTCGATAAGTCGGGCCGCTACTATGACCTAGCGAATTAATGCACTGCACTATACCTGCTTAAAACTTTATATGGGAAATATGTAACAAAACTATTTTCTTATTTATAAACAAAAAGATAAAGGAAGTATTTACTTGAAGGGAGTCTCCTACATTAAAAGATCAAAAAAGTAGATTTTTTTTTCATAAATCAATGATGCAACTCTTCGATATAAATTCAGCGCTTGTATGTATGTATGTACGGATGCACGGCGAGCAAGTATAATAAATAATTTAAAAAATTTTGTTATTATAATTGTAAAGTACTCTTAAAACCATTCAATTTTCATTATGGAAAATTTTTTCTATCTTATAGTTCCGATGATATTCGCTTTGAAAGAAAAAAAAGATTTTTTTTCGAGGGGATGTTTCACTTCCTAAACCTTGAGATAAGCACAAACAAAAAAATATGGGTCTAATATTTTTTCATGTTCTACATATCCAATGCTCATTAAAATCGGTGAAGGTTGGTTTCTTTGTTAGTAGCTCGAGTAGCTCGCAGAATGACTCAAATTCCTCAAAATGAATTCTTTGAGGAAGCTAAATGATTATTGTATGTTCTTAAAATAACAAATTAACCTCTGAGCACTGTAAGTACTTAAGAATTAAATCGAAAACTTTAAACGCATTTTTCTCGAAATCTGTTTTTTTGCATTTTCTTCAATTGTATGTGCACGATTGAAAAAAAAGTATTTGACCAATCGACTTTTTATAAGACTCGTTAGTTTAGCTAATAGTCAACCATCGATGAACCTAAAAAATCAACATTAATTTTTTTTTGCATAAAGAAGCGGCTGCTGTCCAGTCAAAATCGTAATTTTTTTTCAAAGTCGCATAAAATTTTAATTTGTATATATTTTTTAAAATTTTTTAGGTTCATTTAAGATAAAAAATTATAACAATTAAAAATATTTCTTAATTTTCTGTTTCCGGCAAAAATTACAACCGCTAGGATGTATACAAAATCATAACATCATAGCGAGACAAATTAAATGTGTATATTTTTATTATTTATAATACTTTTTTTCACATAAAAATTTGTACGTACTTTACAATAGTTAACCAAATTAAATGTGTATATTTTTATTATTTATAATAACTTTTTCACATAAAAATTTGTACGTACTTTACAATAGTTATGTTAAAACGTGTAAAAAGTTTTAAAACAATATTAGTCTTCCTTTAAAAAAAAAATTATGAAGAATCACCACTTTTTCGGTCTCCTAATGAGATCCTAAAGGAGACCCTCCCCAACAATGTATTGGCCTTTTGTCGCAGATCAAATATCAAAAGTGCTCGAATTCTCTCGTAATCAATTCTATAGTACTTGCTGGACTTGGAAGCGGCGACGGGGAAACAAGTGCTTCTGCAGAGGGCTGAAATAAATTGCTTAGAATAAATTACATCTGCACAGTGAATTTTGTTAACCCGTACCAATGAAAAGATAACTGATAAATTTTACAGCAAGATCGTCCGGTGTATTTGTCTTAATTTTCTTTTTACGATGCAGTGGAGCAACAGGGACATCAGGTATTGCAATATCTTCTATTGATTTTCCATTATTCTTTGTGTTAACGATGACATCAGGTTCTTGAAAAGCATAATAGTCCATAAAAATATAGACATACTAAGTTCTATTAAATAATGATAAAAATATACTTACTACACCACTCTTATCGATAATTTCTTGGATAATACATTCTTCCCAATTACTTTTCTTACAAACACTCGTGGATCTTGTATAGATTCATGTATACATCTCATGTATACATGCTAAGAATAACTCGTTCAGGCATATTACATATAAATTTTCCAATTCTATAATTTCCTGTTGCGAAATAATCATTTTAATTTATTAGTTGATTAATGTTTTTTTTATTTGGCTATAAACAGTAGTATTATTTTGTTTCTTACTTTGATCATAGGATACAGGGCACATTAAAGATACTTCGTTACGATATAAATAAATATTAACATAAAAAAACATTTAGCAAAAATTTTTACAATTATAAGTGAGATATAAAGAGAATTACCTTAGATTTTCCTGCTAAATCTCGGTGTAAAAGAGATTACGTCTACGCTGAGAGGTCATGTCTATGCTTGGTGCCAGTGGCTAGCTAGTTTTGCACTCGTGGTCAGTGTTGCCAGATGCTTTTGTCGATTTTCCCCTAGAAGTCTTGGAATCTCCCTAAATCTCCCTAAGTAAGTTCCAAAAAACCCTAGATTTCTCCCTAAAAGTGTTGCCAGGGGATAGAGATCTTAAAACGTAGAGATCAGCTAAAGCCGGCCATGTTATAAAACCGGAAATCACGTGATCTTGGAAATGCGCGCCAACATATTAACGCCAATTTCGATGAGAATTTTAACAGCAAGCACGGGCGCTATTCTGTAAATGTCTTTACACGTCTACCGACAGTTGTTAGTGTCATTAAATGCGTTGGTCGACAAACTTCGAGTAAGTGCAATTCTATATCAATGGGCGCGTTCAAGCCGGCCAAAGTTGCTAGCCTGTTAGCCGAGCGATTGATTGTGATTGGTTGGATCTATAAGTAACAACCAATCATATTCATTTGCTCGGCAAGCAGTCTAGCCGCTTTGTCGACTTGAACGCGCTCAATGGCTGCGTTCAGCAGAGAAAACAGCTTTGCAACTGTAAAATTTAAAATTCTTGAATATGATTGGTTTGTACATTTAGATCAAATGTGGAATTAAGGGCAAGACCAATCATATTTGAAGAATTTAATTGCTTCTGTTGCAACAGTTGCAACAGTTGCAAAGCTGCTTTTTCTACTGAACGCAGCCAATAGGTGCATTCAGTACTACAACCGCTCACTGAGCGCTCAGTGACCTTTTTGATTTAATTGGCATATTCCGTTAGTTCTAAAAATATAGATCAAACCTTTGACTATATACCTCTGGACTGCTAGTTACCCCCACTTTTCCTACCTTTTTCATAAGATAGAAAGAGAGGACCGTGTATCCAAGCTCTCAGAGCCATCAGGTCCGGAAGTTGGCCAAATCAAGAACTAACTAGCTGCATTTTAA